TGAGCTGCAAAAACACTGATTCGCATCTTTAATATCTCTATACTTGACTATCCAAACGCAGATATGGCCAACCACTTATCTTCCACTCCCGAAAACTTAATATCATTCAAAGCTCTGCTGTCCATATCTTAACTTGCATTAATTCCTGTTCATCTATTGCATCATGTTCAGTTACCTGCATTGCCTTACAGTTAGCCAATCAATTTTAAAGTTCTTGCCCTGGTTTGAAAATCCCTCAAAACTTCCCTGTCCCTTTTCTCTCCCTAAAAAATGCCTAAAAGAGGAGCCTTGACCGGGCTTTTGGTCACCTACCCTAATATCTCCTTCAGTGCCTCAGGAATCATCTTACGAAATGTCTTGGGGCATTTCATTATGTTAAGAAGCGCTACATAAGCAAGCGGCTGCTGAACATTGCAAAAGATTTGTGAAGTGGTGAAAACTCAATTGAATATTCTATTTGATGCCTGACCAGCATTCTGCACATTTGGAGCAGCAGTCCTTTAGCTTCATAGTGAACTGCTTGTGTTAAAAGTCTAACATTCTTTGAGGCTTTTTAGAACCATGGAACACTTACAGTACAAAAGGAAGTTCATTCAGCCCGTTACATCAATGCTGTCTCTCTGAAGGAACTCATTCATCTAGTGTCGCTACCACTCCACTATATTTTCTTTTCTTCTCAGAACATCCAATTCTCTTTTGAGGGTCCGAGTTGATCCTGCCTCTACCACTCAGGCAGCACATTACAGGTCACAACCACTTGCTGCATTAAAAAAAGTCACGTCATCATCGTTTGCTTTCTCAATTATAGTTAAATCTTCTTCTTCTTGAACCATCCACCAACAGAATGGAATTTTCTTAATTACTGTCCAGATCCCTCATGATTTTGCGAACAGTCCCAATGTCTCCAATTTTACTAAATAACAGAGGTTCCTCACCCCAGAATCACTTCCACACATTTTTTCTGCACCCTTTAAAGCTCTGACATTTTTACTGAAACGTGGTGGCTAGAACTGGACAAAAAAAATTCCAGATAACGCTGAGCCAGTGTTTTATACAGGTTTAACTGCCTTGCTTTAGTATTCAATTCCCTTATTGAAAATGTTTTGGGTGCATTACGCTTTATTAACTGCTCCTTGAACCTGTCCTGCTACCTTTAGTGACGTATGCACACAGGTCCCTTTGCCTTTGCACCCTCATTTTGAATTGTACTTTTTCTTTTAAATATCGTATTCCTGTATCCAACCTAATAGAATGAATCATTTCACTTTTCTCTGCATTGAATTTAAATCAGCCATTTGTTTGTCCATTTACCAACATTCCTATGTCTTTCTAAACTTTTCCATCCTCCTCTTGCTTTACAATACTTCCAATGTTCATATCATCCACAAATTAGGCCCTGAGCACCAAAGTCCCAGTCACGAGTAGGTGTCAGGAGGAGCAGGGATCCTAACATTGGTAACTCCATTACCAAAAACTTTCTTCCAGTTTGAAAATCACTGCATCAATTCCATATTTATGTTGCTACTGTTGCTTTCATACCTCGAAGTACAATTTTATCAAATGCCTTCTAGAAGTTCACGTACACCACATCAACAGCATTACCCTCATCAACTCTCTCTCCGTTCATCAAAATACTTAACTAACTTAAAGGCAATTTCCATCAAATTCTTCCTGGTTTCCCTTAATTAACCTGCATTTGCCAATGTGACTATCACATTTGTTCTGAAACATGGTTTATCATAAGTTAAATAGTTTGGCCGGTAGTTGCTGGACTTCTCTTTACATCCTTTTCTGAACAGTGGAATGACATTTGCAATTCTCAAGTCCTCTGGCATCACCTCAGTCTGAAGACAATTGGAAATAATGACCACTGCTTCTGCATTTTCCGCTGTCACCACTCAATATCCTTGGATGCACATTACTCAGTTCTGATGCTTTAAATACAGGCAACCTATCCTATAGCTCATTTTACAATTCGTAAATCTGCAAACATGAGATACTTCCTCCACCATGATTTGGACGGCATCTTCCTTGATAAAGACAAGTGCCAAACATTCAAAGTGTAATCAAGCAGCACATACACAACAATTACTTGCCAATTTACACTCAGTTTGGGCACTGTTTGTGCCATTCAACTCCATAACCCATTACAACAGTGATATAAACATGGACAAAAGAGTTGAACTTGAAGGGAAGTGAGGATGAGTGCCCCATGACATCAAGACAGCATCTGACAGGACGGCATCACAGAACACCAGCAAAACTGGAGACAATGGCAACGAGGGAAAACCTGCCAACTGATTGGAGTCATACAAAGCAGTCAGGAGAAGACCAGTCATCTCAGTTCCATGACTTCTCTGCAGGTGTTCCTCAGGGAAATATCTATGGCCCAGCCATCTTCAACTGCTTCAATGACCTTCCCTCTAACATAAAATTTCACAGATGTTCAACAGCTACTGCAACTCCTCAGATACTGAAGCAATATCCAAATGTAGCAGGACCTGGACAACATTCAGGCCAAAGTTGATAAATGGGAAGTAACATTCGCGTCCTTGTTGGAGGTGGTCACACAACTGGCATACAAGAGAGAACCTAACAACTGCCATTTGACATTCAATGGCATTAGCATCGCTGAATCCCCACCATCAATAACCTGGGGCTAGCATCAGCCTGAAACTGGCTAGAAATCCTGTGACGAATCACTCACCTCCTGACCTCAAATTCTGCCCACCATTGACAAGGCACAAATCAGGAGTGTGATGGAATACTCCTCACTTATCAGACGGGTGCAGTTCTGAAAACACAAGAAGCTTCACACCATCCAAGATAAGGCAGCCCACTTGACTGGCAACTCATCAACCACCTTAAATATTATTTCCCCTAATAACTAAAGCAATGTGTGCCATATACAAAGATGCACTGCAGCAACTCACTCACCAACTCCCTCTTCAATCCCTCCCAAACCTGGGGCCTTTACCACAGAAGAACAAAGACAACAAATGAATGAGAACACCAGAAAATGAAAGTTCTCCTCCAAGCCACATACCATCTGGACTTGGAAATGTATCATTGCTCCTTCACTGTCATTGGGTCAAAACCTTCCAACTGTCTTCCTAAGGCCACTGTGGGCTGCAGTGGTTCAAGGTGACTGCTGACGATTAGCACAAGAGCAATTTGAGATTAGGCAGTAAATGTTGATGTAGCAAGCAATGCCCAAGATCCATGAAACAATTTAAAAAAAAAAAAAAAATCACTTCAAACATTCCATCTGCCTGTATACAGAAATCCTCCTCTTAATCCCTAACTTACCCCTCAGTCTTTTATTGCCCTTTTACTGTTTATATGCCAAAGATAACTTCTAGATTCCCTTTTAGATTAACTGCCAGTCTCTTATTCTATTTTTTAAATTTGATATTTCAGTTCCCCTCTCAACTTTCAATATTTGGCCTGACTGTCCATTGGATTATCCACCCGACATCTGTCATTGGCACACTTTTTCTCCTTCTACTTAATCTCTATCTCTGTCATCCAGGCAATTTTAGATTTGATTAGATCCTAAAATCCTTTTGTCCATTTACCAGAACCATCACCTCCAACCCAACTGAATCCCATAACTGCTTTGCTAACACAACAATATTGAATCAAACAACCGTGAGTCATACTCTCCCACATAAAGCTTGGAAGAGATTTCCATTCAGCACCAAAGGGAAAATTGTAGCCTTAAAATGCATAGATGATAATGTGGTGGTAATGTCATTGGATTAGTAACCCAGATCAACGTTCGGAGGACACTGGTTCAAATTGCACCATGGCAGATGCTGAAATCTGAATTCAATAAGCAAAGACCTCACACTGACCATTGTTGATTGCCGTAAAAACCCATCCGGTTCACTAAGATCCTTTAGGGAAGGAGATCTGCCATCCTTACCTGGTCTGGCCTACACATGACTCCAGACATACATTAATGTGGTCAACTCCTAACTCCCACTCTTGGCAATTAGGGATGGGCAAGAAGTGCTAGGGATACTTACATCCCGTGAATGAATAAAATATGCCACTCCACATTCAAAGCTCACTAAAGTCAAGCGACAGTCCCGCAATTTGATGCCTATTATCCAGGAAGCCACAACATTAATACAGCAAAGTTCCATTAGGCATCTATAAATTGTTAATCGTTTCATGCAACAAGAACTCAAAAAATCTGTATTTAAAAATCAGAAAACAAAATGTGTAAGACTGAAAACAAGTTATATTTTCTTCTACAAAGTGTTTTATTTCTAGGCCTTCAATCACAAGGAGAAACTGTTGACCAAATAAGAAAAATGACAACACTCGTACACATCATATTTTTTCCCCAAATCCAGGGCCATGGTTGGTTTCTGTATCAGATGACTGAATCAGGATCACATGTCTGGAACTTTAAAGTGCGGATCCTTAAATAAAAGGCAATAGTTGGGGGAAAAACCCTTCTTTTATGTCTTGTTAAGCAGGTCATGGTACAGATGATTAACAACTTTTCACCACCACGGAGGAGCACAGTGAGTATAAACAGTAATCAAGTGTCTTTTAAGCAGCCCGTTGTCTGAATGATAGTTAGAAGGGTTGGGAGTGGAATAAGGGGGTCCAAACAAAGGCAACAGTTAGGATTATCACTATTCTAAAGGTCTGGATCAAAGCTATAAAAGCATATTTATTATTCACAAACCTACTGAAAATGAGATATCAGTGCATGAATAATTTAAGAACGTTTTGTTTAAGGCCAGTTTGTGATTAAATACTTCTTGAAACTGCCACTCAAACATGGTCAAATTCTGTAATAGCAGCATCAGGCCTGAAAGGCATATTGGATTGGTGAGATGCAAGTACAGCATTCTCTTTTTGCCTTACTGCAGCTATTCACTGGACTGTGTCATGGATACATAGCAGTTTAAACGATCATCCAATTAAGTCAACGTGTCAGCACTGTTAAAAGTGATGCTGCAGCAATGGCCATTACTCACCGCATTGCTCTCAGTGCAATCTTATACGCCAACTCAGCATCATGAGGTAGGAGAGACGTGAAGAGATACTTGGCAAAAGTGTGCATTGGGACACTCTCTCGGTAAATTATTTCACCCAGGCCGCTGTAAGGTCCACCTGCACAGGAAAACAAATATTCATCTCTGAAACTTGCATTTGTTTCTGACTTGTTTATGTGATTTGCATTAAGATCACGTATGCTTACCTCTGCCTAAACAAACATGACAGCTTGTTTGTCCAACGTTATGACTGGAAAAGTGTGTTAGTAAACAACCAGGTATGACGCCAAGTACAAATTATTGTACTTTTATCAAACCAACCAAATCCCAATTTCAACGGTCAAGTATTTACCAGAGAGGGCAAAATGAAGATTCAAAGTGTCACTTTCCCAAAAGTATAGTATCCATTTGATACAAGATGAGCAGTGTTTTATTTAATTTAAATAAAAGGGAGGCAATGGCCTAGTGGTATTATTGCTGGACTGTTAATCCAGAGGGCCAGATAATGTTCTGGGTTTGAATCCTGCAACGGCAGCTGATGGAATTTGAATTCAATAAATAACTGGAATTAGAGTCTAATGATGACTGTGAATCCATTGCTGGTTGTCAGGAAAATCCATCTGGTTCACTAATGCCCTTTAGGGAAGGGAACTGCCATCCTTACCTGGTCTGGCCTACGTGACTCCAGACTCACAACAATGTAGTTGACTCATAACTGCCCTCTGGGCAGGTGGTAGACTTGCTCGCGATTCGTCACCCTGCTAGGTAACATTGTCAGAGCGCTTGTCCCACTTGTTATTTATGTGCCTCGGTTTGCTGGGGTGGTTGGCATCACTTCCGGTTCTGTTTTTCAGTGGGTTGTACATCGGGTCCAGTTCAACATATTTGTTGACGGAGTTCCAGTTGGAATGCCAAGCCTCCAGGAATTCCCAGGTGTCTCTGGTTGGCAGTTTGGCCCTCTGGATAATTAAGGATGAGCCACAAATGCTGGCCTAGCTAATGATGCCCTCATTCCGTGAATGAATGAAGAAAAAATAACTTCCATATAGGAAAATTTGTTTCTATTTATTAAAAGTAATATTCTAGAGCTTTAACCTCATAATTTAGGTTGATACTCAAGGACCATACAGTCGAACAGACAGTCTTTCAAATGAGCTGTTAAACCAGTGTCTCAAATGAAATGTTTCAGGATCCCATAGCACTATTCAACACAAGAACACAGGTATCCTCCCATTGTTCCAACCAGTATTTATCCCGCAACATTATTAAATTGTGATCTGTGGAATCCTGCTGTGAACTAACTAGTTGCCATGTTTTCCACATTATTACAACATAAAATTACTAAGCACAAGATTTCCAAAAGCAGAAAAAGGTGCTACATTAATAAAATTTATTTTCTCTTGAGCATGCCTGTAAGACTAACATCAACATTTATCTATTCCATTTCTCCCACCAGTTCCAAAGACCATGCTACGCCTGAAGAAACAGGCATGTAATCTGTTCCTAGGCCTACTTCATAACATCTCCTCAGCATATTGAAGAATGAGTTAGCCATTTGTTCTTTGCTCCTTCAAGCTGCAAGTCTTAGTTATCTCATTTCCTGAGCATACCAGGCCAGAGCTGCTTCCTTGGCACAGCCACAAATAGAGCTGTACTCTCGTTGATACATACTCCCGACGACAGAGTGACATGTATATTTGAACACAAGTAGGTTACGTTTAGCAAAGTGTGTTTTGAAACACTTAGAACAACTGGAGAGTTTATGATAAACTAAGATGCAGATTAGTTAAATAATTCAGGCTCCAGATAAACAAGATAAACTAGAATTTACAGACACAAGTATAATGCAAATGGTTTCTCTCTCCTGTGCTGAAAACTGAATAAACTCCCTTCCGAAGAGAAAGTGTGATGTGATAAATTGAAAATAATTGAGAACGTAATGAGTCAAATTACAAATTTAAAAACATTAATAAAATTGCATTCTCTTTCTCATAGCTAAGAGTATAATAATCCATCCCACTGCAATGCATTCAACTGGTTAATATCCAAAAGTGCTTAGCTGTAAGTTTGTGCAACAATCAGAATATCCCATCATGTTACAAAGGGTAGATCTGGTTCTCCTTCCATTAGTTGCTGTGCAGCATATGCCCAAATCTCAGAAAAAGATCCAAAAAGATGATGCTGGATAGGGGCAAGGAACTTAGGAAACCATTAAACACACATACAACAAAGCCTCAGTTGTGACAAAAGGAGAAAGTGATGAAAGTTAAATTACCTTCCAACAGGAAAACGGCTTGTTTCCGGAAAATTTTCACCAGCATGTCATCTAATTCTATCTCTTGCAGCTTTGCAATCAGTTGTTCTTCATTGCGACAGACTTTCTCCTGCGCATACAAGCCATCGGGCATTATTCGTTGCTGACCCAATCCAATCAATGCTATTTCAACAGCTAGTGTTAAATAAGATTCCCCATCTTCCAGGAACTTGTGGGCCGGTAGATGCTGATACTCCAGCAGTTTCAACTGCCCCGTTGTTTCTGAGAGAAAGAAATTATCACGATTGCATTAGGTACATTGTACTCAACAAAATCCATGTAAAAATTCAACCATAACTCTGTTCAAAACAGTAAACAAACTGTCGTATGGACCTAACCACTACCTCTAAACTGACTGATACAGCCAGGATGACTAGAATTGTTGGTTTCAGTGTCCATGATTTTATACCCGATCACAATTCAGTACCCCCAGGAAGGAAGGAAGGCAGGCAGTAATGGTCTGTCAGATCACATTTTAAAAGTCTCACCATTATGTAAAATGAAGAAGTGCTTTCTCAAAAAAAAAAAAAAATTCTTAGAATAAGTGAGGCTCATTCAGCAAAGCAAGTCTGTGCATCATCTATAAACTATTCCAAAACCTGGAAGTAGCTTGTTTGAGCAAAAGAAGCAGCCAGTAGCCGGAACAGAGAAGCAAAAAGTTTATCAAATATCACTAGTTTTTGGTTTTAAATCCACATACCAAAACATTTTGCATTTCCTTTCTTACATAATTCAAAGTTGTGCATTTACATTTTATTCAAATATTGGTTGGCATTTTTATCTGAAAATGGAATGAAAGTCTGCTTGTTTAGTAATGTACAAACATTATCAGTTACTCCCATCTCAGGTGAAACAAGGAACTAAAATATTTTTAGATCATTTATTAACAATCCCAGTTCACAGCATTATTGCGTAGAACTGACAATGAAAAAGCATTGTATAATCTGAGAGCAGAATTGTCAAAGCATCTATCTTCATGGGATGTTCCAAGAATTGAGGCAGGGCAGCCATTCAGATCTGAAAGCCACTGTCAATGGGGTTTAGCCATTTCTTGATCAGACCACTAGAGGGATCTCACACGGTGAATAAAAGCCGAGCACTCACTCCTATCCAAGCGACTTATGACCTATTTGTCAAATTGTGATAAAAATGTGCTCCAGAGCATTGAATAGATCAGAATCATTCTCACCACTCCACATGCCACTCTTTACCCGGGGTGGGGGGGGCCTGAATGACGATAGCTCTTGCCAGTCCCAGATCTTTTTTTTACTAACTTCCAACTACAACACATCCAAAGTACTTGACAGAATTACAGAATCGTTATGGTACAAGAGACATTCATTCCACCCATCGACACTAGGTAATAGAAACAAATCTCCATACCTTGCCCCATATCCCCGCCCACTATTTCTGTACAAAACAAAAATCACCCAAATCCCTCTTCAATGCACCAATTGAACTTGCCTCCACCACACTTCCAGACAGTGAATTCCGCACTGTCACTACTTACTGTGCGAAAAAGCTTTTTCCCCCCTCACATCACCTTTCCTTTGTCTGCACATCACTTTAAACCTATGTCCTCTCATTCTTTTTATGAGCCTTGCCTACTCTCTTCAGCCCACTCATGATTTTGAAAACCTCTCAAATCTCCTCTCAGCTTTCTTCAATGTAGCATTCACAGCTTTACAAATATGCCAGCTGAGGTCCAACAAGCGTCTTGTACAAGTTCAACATCACCCACTGAGCGTGCACAATGGGGTGAGCTATTTAAGACCAAGATGAGAAATTTCCTCACCCAAAGAATGGCGAGACTGTGGAATTCTCTGCCATATAAAGTGGTTAAGCAGAAAAGCAGTTGAGGGAAAAACATTAAGTGTTTCTAAGAAGGAATTAGATATAGTTGTGAGGGCTAGAGATCAAACGGTATGGGGAGAAAGCAGCAACAGGATACTGAGTTGGACGATCATCTATCATGATTAACAGCAAAGCTGGTTCAAAGGGCTGAACGATTTACTCCTGCTCCTATCTTCCAAGCTATGTACTCAATAACACAATTAATAAAGCCAATAACGCTGTATTAACTGCTCTCTCCACCAGTCCTGCTAACTTCAATAATCTGTGCAATGAGACATACAGGTCATTTTCCTTTTGCACCCCCTTCAGAATTGTATCCCCTATTCTATACTGTCTTTCAGCATTCTTCCAACCACAGTGCAACACACTTTCTAGCAGTCAAACTTATCTGCCACCCAACTGTCCACACCACAAACTTGCCAATGTCCTTTGGGAGTTCCACACAATCCTCATCACAGTTTACAATTCTTCCCTCCCGAGTGTCAACTGCAAACTCAAATTGTCCACTGTGCAACAAGATCCAGATTATTAACATAGATCAGGAAAAGCAATGGTTCCAATAGCAACCTGTGGGGAAATCCACTGCAAACCTTCCTCTAGCCTGAAAAATGTCCATTGGCCATAAGACTATAAGAGGTAGGAGCAGAATTAGGCCGTTTGGCCCATCAAGTCTGCTCTGCCAATCGATCACAGTCAATACGTTTCTCAACCCCAGCCTTATCCAATAAACCTTGATCCATCCCCTTACTAATCAAGAACTTCTCTCTCAAATACACTCAATGACTTGGCCTCCACAGCCTTCTGTGGCAATGAGTTCCACAGATTCACTACCCTCAGGCTGAAGAAATTCCTCCTCATCTCAGTTCTAAAGGGTCACTCCTCATGCTGATGTTGAGCCCTCAGGGCCTAATCTCTCCTACCAGTGGAAACATCATCCTCACACTCACTCTATCCAGGCCTCTAAGCATTCTGGAAGTTCCCTTCTAAAAGCTGTCAAGAACAGACACAGCAGTATTTGATGACCCTCACATGACAAGCCTTTCATTCCTGGGATCATTCTTGTAAACCTCCTCTGGACCCCCTTCAATGCCAGCATTCCTTACACACGGGCCCAAAACTGTTCACAATATTCCACATCTAGTCCGACCAAAGCCTTGTACAGCCTCAGCAGTACATCTCTGTTCTTGTATTCTAGTCCTCTTGAAATGAACACTAACATTGCATTTGCCTTCGTAACTGCCAACTGAACCTGAATGTTAACGTTAAGAGAATCCTGAACTGGAACTTGTATTTCAGATTTCCAAAGCCTTTTCCAGTTTAGAAACTAGTCTATGTCTCGATTCTACCTACCCAAGTGCATAGTCTCACACTTTCCCCACATCGTATTCCATCTGCCAATTTTTTTCCCACTCTCCTAGCCTGTCCAAGTCCTTCTGCAACCTCCCCATTTCCTCAACATATTCTGTGTCACCTGCAAACTTAGCAGCAATGACTGCAGTTCCTTCGTTTGGATCGTTAATGTATAACATGAATAGTGGTGGTCCCAATACTGACCCCAGGCGGAACTCCATCGGTCATCAGTTGCCATCCTGAAAAAGACATCTTTATCCTTATTCTCTGCCTTCTGCCAATCAGCCAATCCTCTATCCATGGCAGTACTTTCCCCTATCACCACGGGCTCTTATCTTGTTTAGCAGCCTCCTGAGTGGCACCTTGTCAAAAGGCCTCTGGCTCTCCTTTATTTTACTTGCTTGTTATGTCCTCGAAGAATTCTACCAGATTTAACAGGCCTCCCCTTAAAGCAACCCTATTTTACCATGCACTATCAGGTATTCCGCAATCTCATCCTTAATAATGGACTCTAAAATATTACTAGTGACAAAGGTCAGGCTAACTGGCCTATAGCTTGCTGTCTTCTGCCTCCCTCTCTTCTTAAATAAGAGTATTAGCCACTTTGTCCTCTGGAACCCTTACTGACATTAGCGATTTCTGAAAGGTCACCACCAATGCTCTTACGCTCCTCAGCTATCTCCTTCAGAATCCTGGTGTGTAGCCCATTTGATTTAGTTGATTTATCCAACTTCAGACTTCCCCAGCACCTTGTCCTTAGTGATGACCACGAGACTCACCCCTACCCTCTGAATCTCGAAGTTATGCCATTAGTATCTTCCACTGTGAAAACAAATGCAAAGTACCTATTCAATTGTCTGCCATTTCTTTGTTTCCATTATTCTGTTTCCTAACACTTAACCAATTTTGCATCCATGTTTCTATTGCCCCTTACATACCATGATCTATAAACTTTTCACACAAGGCTGTTGTGTTGTCAGTGGTCGTAAAGCACTTTAGGTCATCTTGAACTCATGAAAGGTGCTATACAAATACAAGCTTCTTAATTTGCAGGCTATAACTTTCTGAACGAACATGAACTCAATGTTGCAGTCTGCAGTCATCATAAGCAGAGCAGGAAGTTGAGAATCAAGTGTGGGTTTTTCAGGTGCAGGGGTCGAGCGGTGAGGGGTGTTTAAGGTGGTGGTAGGAGGTATACTTTTTTACCTTGATACTGGTAATGGTTTACTTATATTTCAGGCAGTTAAATATTTAAAACCAAATTAAGATAAGCAGTATACTTCCAATAATGTAAACTAGTTGAATTACACAGAAATGGCACAGAAAGTGACTACTGTGTCAGACAAAAGAGAAAAAGAAACTAGCTGTCCATTCTAAATTTATTTTCCAGGACCCAATCCATAGCTTTGTACGGTTCCAGCACTGCAGGTACCTTTTGAATTCCAGTAGCTACTGTGTTGGGGTTCAAATCCATACTATCAGAGCCTGTGCTTCTAGAGTACAAGTTCAATGAATTATCATTTTAAATTCCTCACATTAGATTTTGTGGAGAATCTAAGTTTTTTTTCTGTTTGTCTTCAAAGTAAAAGAAAAGCAAATAATTTGCTTAATGACTCTGCTGTTTCTTTATTCCTCATCATAGTTTCTCCTGTGTGATCATTACTCCCAATGTGCTATCGAAGTAGTCCTCAGCCTCGTGGATGTGCCACAGTGACCACTCCAACCACAGTTTGAGCTCTGAAACCTGGAGCTCAAGTTTCTACAGCTGGAGATTAACAAGTAGAAAGAAATGGGATTGTGGCAGGGCATAATGGAGTCCAGCTGTGAACAGGAATTCTGAAACCTGTGCTTCCTACCCAATGTCAGAGGTAAGGGTTGCTCCTCACGATTGAAGAAAGACTTTGGAGGGGGAATGAATCCATTGTTATGGCCTTTGTGGGAATCAATAACCTACATAGAGTAGGAAGGTTATTCTGCTGCAGGAGTTGGAAGATTTATTAAAGCTAGGAAGCTCCATAAAGTAAAATTCTCTGGATTACCGACTGGGGCAAGCACAAATTGCTACAGGGAAAAACAGATGAGAGGATCAGAGGCATGGCTACAGCAGAGATCTGCAAGGCAGGACTTTGCCTCCAAAGCCACTAATACTGGAGAACAAACTGGGATTGACACTATTGAAACTGGGCAGGGAGCACTGTTCTGGTAAATTAAATAACTTATAAACTAGTTTGGAAATATGGTTTTAAGACAAGGGTGGGGAGGATTCAGATAGGAATAAATTTACGCATCTGGTTAAGTCCAAATCTAAATTCTTAATCACTGAGTCAGAGTCATACTGCATGGAAACAGACCCATTGGGCCTACTCGTCTACGCCGACCAGATTTCCCCAAACTAAACTGGTCCCATATCCCTTTAAATCTTTCCTATTCGTGTAACTGTCCTTATGTCTTTTAAATGTTATAATTGTACCTGCATTCACTATTTCCTTTGGCAGTTCATTCCATATACAAACCACCATCTGTGTGAAAATCCTCTTAAATCTTTCTCCTCTCACCTTAAAAAATATACCCTCTAGTTTTGAGCTCCCCTACTGAAAAGGCCTTTGCTCTTCACACTATCCATGTCCCTCATGATTTTATAAACCTCTAAGGTCACCTCTCAGCCTCCTACACTCAAGGGGAAAGAGACCCAGCCTATCTAGCCTCTCCTCAACCTTCCATTCCGGGCAACATACCGGTAAATCTTTTCTGAACCCTCTCCAATTTAACAATATCCTTCCTGTAGCAAGGCAACCAGAACTGTACATGGTACTGCAAAAGTTACCTCACCAACATGACATCCCAACTCCTACACTCAATGGTTTGAGCAATGAAGGCAAGTGTGCCAAACAGTTTCTTAAATTTAAACACAGAAGTCTCGAATCAGCAGAGTCCTTGAATATTTTTGAGGCAAAAATTGATAGATTCTTGACAAAAGCAAGCGGCTGAAAGACTATTGGGTTAAAAAATATGGAGTAATCAAATCAGCCATGACCTTATTAAATAGTGGAGCAGCCTCAAGATGAGACTGACTCCTGCTCGTAATTTGTTCAGAGGCAATAACTGAAGGAATTATGAGGAATAAGGAAACAACAGAAGCATTAAACAAATGTTTTGTTTTTTTTTTTAAAAGCTGTGAAGACAGACACAGAACTGGAATGGAAGGTTTGAGTTATAAGGACAGGCTAAATAGGCTGGGACCTTCTTCCACTGGAGCATTGGAGGTTGAAGGGTAACCTAATAGGAGGTAAAATCATGAGGGGTATAGATTAGGTGAATGGCAGGTGTATTTTTGCTCTGTTAGGGGAGCTCAAAACTAGACAGCATACTTTTAAGATGAGAAAGATTTTAAAATAAAAGACAAGAGGGGCAATTTTTTTGTTTAAAAATAGTGGTTCATGTGTGGAATGAACTTCCAGAGGAAGTGGTGGATGTGGGTACAGTTACAATGTTTAAAAGACAAGTACATGAAGAAATGTTTGGAGGCATTTGGGCCAAGCACAAGCAGGTGGGACTAGTTGAGTTTTTGATTATGGTCAGCATGGACTGGTTGGACCAAAGGGTCTGTTTCTGTGCTGTATGACACAAACTGACTAGAGAGTGAGGAACTTAAAGTGGTGGTGTCATTGAACAAGTACTCTAGCAGTACAACTTCTGATGGCATGGATCTGAGTTACAGCACAGCAGTTGGTGGGATTTAAATTCCATTAATAAAACTGGGCATTAAAAAAGTGCGCACCAAACAACATTCCCTTTAAGCTTCACTTCCTTCTGAAATGGTCAAGCAAGCTACTCAGTTCAAAGGCAATTAGGGATGGGCAATAAATGCTACCATAACCAGATACATCCACATGCCAAGAAGTGTAAACAAAACAAAAAGCTGACAAGTGTCTTGACCTGATGGGCTTCACCTTAGAAGGAAACAAAACAGAAATTGCCGGAAAAGCTCAGCAGGTCTGGCAGCATCTGTGAAGGAATAAACAGTGTTAACGTTTCGGGTCCAGAACCTCAGTTCTGAGGAAGGGTCACCGGACCAGAAACGTTAACTCTGTTTTCTCTTTCACAGATGCTGCCAGACCTGCTGAGCTTTTCCAGCAATTTCGGTTTTGTTTCCTGATCTGCAACATCCACAGTTCTTTCGCTTTTTATTTTTGCACCTTAGAAGGGGTGGCTGTCAAGCCAGCAGATACGTTGTTTTTAATCTTCATTTATCCAATGGTCAAATGCATAGAATAGCAAGCCTGAATACAGGATAGATTATCGGACGGAAAGCAGTGAAGATGGATAAACAGATCTTAAATGGAATGGCAAGTTAACTAATAGAGTGCTGCTCAGACGGTTGTGAAGCTTTGGAAATCAGAGGGTTATAGATATTCAGTCGATCTGCATTCAACAATAAAATTGATAAACCTTTAGATAAGACGACGTTCAAGAGTTACGGAAAGTGGAGTTTACAAGAGGATGTCCAGCCATGATTTCACGGAATAGAAAAAACTGGCCCAATCAGACACATGGCTTACTCCTGCTCCTACTTTTCATGTCCTTGCATTCTTAATGTTGCAACTCAAATTTACAAGTGAGATTACATGTTGTGCATCTTCAATTTCATTGCATTCAAACCCTGAGCTCAATAAAAAGAAATAAATCAGACTAGCAGTGGACAATATTTTGTCATATTATCTATGCACAGCATGGCAACAACATTTAGCAAAAAAAGACAAATGTGTTTCATCGGCTGCTCGAACCCACACTGCCTGGATTTCACATACCTGTAAATTCAGAAAATCCAGAACTTTCATCATCTACTCTGCAAGCATCCATTAGCGTGCTGAAGAGACAGCCAATAGGGTCCAGCGGGTGACCTACCCAGCCTTCAAGATTGGTTATTGTCGTGATTCCTTTATGAAAAGACTCAAGTGTTTATGTTGAAGCAATCAGTTGCTAAACTGTAATAACTAGCCACCTTCTAACTACAAGATTGAGAGATCATCAATACATCTTTTCTAGGTTCCTGCACTTGAAGTATACTATAATCAGAACAGTGTGACTTCATATTACTAAAATAGATGGCAGAAGTGTCTCTAATTGGTCTGCTTTAGTATCCGCAGGGACCTTCTTCAAATCTACTTAATTCAATAATATAAACAATAAAATTGAACCCCTTCTCAAAATGACAAGCCATTCAAAAGGGCCTTTAATGTGGAAAAGCACGAAGTAATCAATTGGAGCATAAGACACCATTTGACACTGACCCACATGAGGGAATATTATCAAAAACCTGGTCAAAGAGACAAAGGGGTAGTAAGATGGAGAGGTTTAGTGATAGAATTCCTGAGCTTAAGGCTTTGGCACAATTGCCAATGACAGAGAGATTAGAATTCACATTGCACGAGGCCAACATTAGAGGAACACAGATCTAAGAAAGCTGTAAGGCTTGACGAGAATATTGAGACAAGGGGTGTGAGGGCATGACAGGGATTTGAAAACCGGGATAAACGTTTTAAAATTGAAGTATTGTCAGACTAGAAGTCACTGCAGATCATAAAGCACTAGTGAGCTAGGAGAGGAGGACCTGGCATAAGCTGAGATCAGTGTTTTGGATAAAATCAAGCTTACATATGTTGGAAGAGGCTGACAAGGAAAACACTGGAGTAGGCAAGTCTAGAGGTACTGAAGGCATGGATAAGGAATTCAGTTATCGTGGAAGTAATGCAGGGGTTGAGTTGGGTGATGTTACTGAGTTGGAATTTGCAGACTTGGTGACAGAAATGTATGTGGCTGAAAGCTCAGTCTCAGGGTGATGTCTGATACCAAGGCTGCAAACTGTCTGGTTCAGCATCAGACCATTCATCGGGAATGAACACAAGGCATTGGAAGGAGGATGGTGTAGTCAATCATGTCAAATGCCATCGAGAAGGACGAGGTGGGACAGTTTACTATGGCTACAGTCGCAGTGAACTGAAAACATGAAATTGTGACAAAGGTGGACATTTGAAATGCGCAAGTGACAATGTTCCCCTGCTTACCTTTCCTCTGTGCCTGAAAAATTTCGAGCTGTTTTTGCTGTTGTCGCCTCAGTGTATTGACAATTGCTATGGCTAGTCTCAACGCTTCTCTGGGATATCCATGAGATCGCAGCGCATCTACCCGAGCACAAGCTGTAGGGACGTGCTCTAAAATTCCAATGGAGTGCAAGGAATTGTAAAAGAAAAAAAAAAAGTGCAATGACTCCACCTGACAATGATTCAGATCAATACTTGTGGCAGAAGCTCCATTTTTATGAAGCAGCAGGTATTGTATTCACAGTCGGGCCTCAAATATCAGAAATTTGACAAAGTTACAAGGCATGCAAATTTCCAGTTTAGCTACTTACCGTGCCATAGGGGCCAACCATGAGAGTCAAATAGTGAATTTTCACCATCACCATGGTAACAGTAGTTTGTGTAGAGGTCACTGCTAATAATGTGCTGTAAATGGTTGTCCTGCCAGTGGAGATCACATGCCTCAATGGCTCGTGTGAACACAGTCCGATGAGGCCTATTTGCAGTATCTGTCGGTGAATTGACAAAGTTATGTCAATCATTTGCATTTTTAAATAAAAACAAAAACAGCAGCTAACAGAATCCAATCCCTTGCAAATCTCTATCGTTCATACACCTCTCCTTTAAAAACCATGTCAGAGCATGTTGTGAACAGACAGATAGAATAATACGTGCATGCCAAGTAATTCCACCAGCTTTTCATACATTTAAACGTAATTCATGTACATGAAGCAGTTTAGGGCATTATAAATGCAAGTGAGTTCTTGTAGCCTCACATCAGCACCATAACGCAATGTTCAAGAGACAGCTCTTGTCAAGAATTAAGTTGTGTTCCCAGGTTAGAAGACAATGAAGATGGAAACAGGAAATTACAAAAGTACTTAAACAGATCAAGCGAGTGGGCTAAACTGTGGGAGATAGTATTTAATGCAACAAAGTGAAAGGTATTAAGAAGTGGATCAAAAGAAATCAAAGAATATCTGCTTAATAAAGAGAACAGGAGCTTTGGAGGAGCAAGGGTGCCTAAGCATACAAATCTCAGAATTTGGTCAACCAGTGGAAAAAAAAAGTAAACAAACAAAAATATTTAAATGTTAGCCCCAAATATAAAGGGGTTGGATTAAAAAATGCAAAATGCTTCTTCAGCTGTAGAACCCCACCAACTGAGACAATTTCAAAAGCTTAACGGAAATCAAGAAAGAAAAGACAGAAACAATTTCCTCTGTTGGAACAATCAAGAAAAAGAACAAAATATCCAGGTTCGGGTAGGCCATTCAGATGAGAAATCCAGAGCGTTTTCTTGCCCCCACAAAGGGTATAAAAATCTGAAACTTGATTCTTCCAAAGGCGTGGATGCAGAGACAATCGACAATTTCAAGATCTAGGTCGACATCTTAAGTATTTCAAGGAATGCAGAACACAAGTTGATAAAAGAAGTTGAGATATAGATTAGGCATAATCAAACAGAATGACAGATCAGGCTCCAGGGGCTGAATGGCCTCTTCTCAGTGCTGTATTTTTATACGTTTACACACTTGTTTTTCCAGCAGCCTGGAAAAATGTGGAAATAAAAGCTGGAAATGATAACTGTCAAAATACGTTTGTCTGCAGCTGCTGGTATTGTGGCACTTGCACTCTTCTGCAAACTAGGTAGACTGCACATTACCCAGAGCTCTCCATCGAACAGAGATCTCCCACTCCTGGTTGCAAAATATCTTTGTGGTCTATGAAATATTATGGTGTGAAAGTCACTTCACATAACACAAAATCAAATGGCTAAGTGCTGGGTCTCCCACACATTATGCCTAATCAAACTCCAAACTCAACAACAATCAGAGATCACAAATTTCACAATCATTCCAGATTTAATAATTACCAAAATGAAAAATGACAAATAAAGTTATTTTCCTTCAGCTGTGACTAAATCTGGACGTCATGTGTTTATCTCAGTTGTTCAACGGAGAAACTTGAACCTCCAGAAGAGCTTATGAAAACAACTTTTTAAAATCTACAGCTGTAGCTCCTTACTCAAATAAGCCCTTTTCCCTACACCTCTAACTTCACTTTTAAAATATATCCACTGAGACTTAAACAACAGTTTGGAATTTGTTCACACTCTCATTTCTCAGAAAGCATTCTATTTTCTAGCAGTAAATGTTTGATAAATAATTCCAACTTCACCTTTTTGGTAATAACTTTACACTCATGCCTTAACACTACCTACTTTCTATTCCATGAAAACACTGTTTCCTCATTCACTGCTGCAAAATCTTCCAAGAGTTTTGTGCATTATTACCGGATTTTGCATATTAGAGAAAGGAGCCCCAGGTTGACACAGAACATTATAAAAATATTACTTCACGATATGCAAGTATCATCTTCAAGACCATAGGAGCAGAAATTAAGCTATTCGGCCCATCGAGTCTGCTCGGCCATTCAATCATGGCTCTTAAGTTTCTTAACCCCGTTCTCCCGCCTTCTCCCTGTAACCTCTGATCACCTTAACAATCAAGAACCTATCACTGTCTTAAGTGTACTCAATGACCTGGCCTCTACAGCCTTCTGTGGCAATGAATTCCAAAAGATTCACAACTCTCTGGCATCTCCGTTCTAAAGGGTCTTCTCTTTTCTTTTCTTTAAGGTTGTACCCTTGGGTCCCAGTCTCCCCTGTTAACAGGAAAATCTTCCCAACGTCCACTCTGTCCAGGCCTTTCAGTATTCCCTAAGTTCCAATTAGATCCCCCCTCAACCTTCTAAAGGCCATTGAGTATAGACCCAGATTCTTCAAACGTCCCTCATATGTTAAGCCTTTCATTCCTGGGATCATTCTCATGAACCTCCTCTGGACCCACTCACAATACTCTAAATGTGGTCTGACCAGATCTTTAGAAAGCCTCAGAAGTACATCCCTCTTTTATATTCTCATCCTCTTGAACTAAATGCCAACATCGTATTTGCCTTCCTAACTACCAAATCTACCTGCAACTTAACCTTCAGAGAATTCTGAACTAGGATTTCCAAGTCCCTATCACTTCAGATTTTTGAATTTTCTCCCCATTTAGAAAATAATCTATGCTTCTATTCTTCCTACCAAAGTGCATGACCTCACACTTTCCCACATTGTAATCCATCCACCACTTCTTTGCCCACTCTCCTAACCCAAATCCTTTTGCAGCCTCCCCAACTCCTCAATACTACCTATCCCTCCACCTATCTTTGTATCATCTGCAAGCTTAGCCAGAATGACCTCAATTCCTTCATCTAGATCGTTAATGTCTAAAATGGAAAAGTTGCGGTCTCAACACTGACCCTTGCGGAACACCACTCGTCACTGGCTGCCATCCTGAGAAAGACCTTTTGTCCCCACTCTATGCTTTCTGCCACACAGCCAATCTTCTTCCATGCTAGTACCTTGCCTCTAACTCCATAGGCTCTTATCTTACTCAGCAGTCTTCTGGAAGTCCAAGTCGATAACATCCAGAGTAGTAAATAACTATGCATTCAAACTGACTGGAAAATAAGTTTTTAAATTTATTCCTCACCTTGGTTAGCATTTGCACCCTGAGGCAAAGCATTGGTTAAATTGGGCAGCTCATTGCCATGGTTTCCATCCTCCCAGGGACAAACATCAACACAATTCCATTTTTTGAGCTGCTTTAGCCAACCTGCTTTCTGTTCAGGCTTGCAATGGGGATTTAAGACTATACACATCCACAGAGCACCTAAGAAACCAAAAGCAGAGACATATCAAAATAATGCCAACAAAACCTCAATTTTAAGATACAACTCATGAAAATTCTGCAAAGGAAACTGGAAACTTAAATTTTCATCAACGTTAATAAATATTGAGAACAAATACAGCCCAGTCATACTGCCAATTTACATTAATAGCAGAAAGGCCTTTATTTTAGTTATTTGGCATTTTTCATTTCTCAATTGAAATTAACTCATGATAAAGTTTCTTATAATTGGAATTTAACCAGCTATTAGAATACCATTTTTATACAGAGATATCTAAATAAACCTCAATGCATAAAACATCTGATTAGCGTAAAGTGAAGAGAGTGCACAAAGCATATTTACTCAAAATTAAAACTATGTACCTCCTGCTTATTTTTACATCATTAATTATGTAACTGAGATAATGATGTGACATTTGCTTGCCTGGTTGATGCTCTATAATAAAGCTTTTCCTAGCTTTGTAATGAAGAGCTTCAATCTGAGTAAACTCCAGACCAATCTGTTGTGAAAACTCTGATCATATTTTTACAGCTGTAACAAACATCACCACAGCAATTGAGACAATCCACAATGCTCAAAAATAAAGTCAATTTGTCTCCCAATGCCAATGGATCCTTAAAAAAAAAAAATTGCAGAAGCTGGATCCATCTTTTCAGCAAAAATCATCATTTCTTCTTTGATCCAAGTACACCTCATTTTGTTGAGAGCATTTCAACATCTTGGAAAAGTATTATTTACAAGTAAGCAGTCAACAAACGGGGCTTGACACCATCCAGGACAAAGCAGTTCAATTGACTGACAACATCCACAAGCATCCACTTCCTCCAGCACTGACAGTCAGTAGCAGCAGTGTGATCTATCTACAAGATCAACCGCAGAAATTCACCAAAGATCTTAGACAGCATTTTCCAAACCCATGACCACTTCCATCTAGAAGGGCAAGGGAAACACCACAACCTGCAAGTTCCCCTTTATACCATCCTGGCTTGGAAATATATCGCCGTTCCTTCACTGTGTCTGGGTCAAAATCCTTTAATTCCCTCCCTTATAGCATTATGGGTCCACCTATAGTACATGGACTGCAGTGGTTCAAGCAGGCAGCTCACGACCACCTTTTCAAGGGCAACTATTGACAGGCAATAACGGCTGGCCAGCCAGCAATGCCCACGTCACGAGTGACTTTTAGAAAACTTGCCTTGACAGTGTTCAACATGGACTCTGCCACGATCATTTAGCTCCTGACCTCATTTCAAACATGGTACAAACACTCAAGGAACTTGAACCCATCCAGGACAAAGCAGCCTGCTTGGTTGGCACCACATGCAGTACACCTTCTACATTCACTCCTTTCACTATTGACATACAGTAACAGATCGTGTACCATCCACAAGATACACTGCAGAAAGTCCCAAGGTTCATAAGACAACACCTTCCAACTCTCAATCTTCCACCTGGAAGAACAAGGGCAGCAGATACATAGGAACAACGCCATCTGCCAAGCCACACATCATTCTGAATTGGGAATATAATAGTCTTTCTTAAGCTTCGCCAGGTCAAATACTAACAGTACCGTAGGCATCCCACACAGCACATGAATTGCAGTAGGGTATGGCGGCAGCTCACCACCACCTCAACAGCAACTAGGGACAAATGCTTGCCTAGCCAGCAAAACCCGTTAATGAATAAGAGTGGGGTCACCACACCCAAAATGTTAACTCTGTTTTTTCCCTTCACAGATGCTGCCAGACCTGCTGAGCTTTTCCAGCAATTTCTGTTTTTGTTCCTGAAAAAAAAGTTTTGTTCAAACCACAGAAATGCTGGTACTAAGAGTCAGATGGGGTTTCCACAACTTAGCTGCTGTCCAATGACCACCATATCACAACATGAAGCCATAACTTCAAACTAATTACAATGAAGTGACTTTCCAAAGCAAACATTCCAGAAGGAACAAAAAAAAAACATACAGCCAGAATAATTTACTATTACAATTAACAATAAAGATCAGTTTTTGAGCCAGTCAACCTCATAATAAACGGTTCCAAAGAAGGTCTAAACTAACCAAACCATTTTTAAACGTTTTCAATAATCATTGTCTGGTTAATAATGAGCGTTTGCACAGGCATGCAAAAGTTTGGGCATCGGGAAACAAACTTTTATGAATAATAACACTACATTCATCCACAGAATGATTTCGGAGCCTACAGCTCAATTCAGGCTTGCAGTTCAAATGTAATGAAAAAAATTGCAAAAAAGTTTTAATTTTGAGAGACTGGGAGATGGACATTGCAGCCCTTGGCTCACACCCCTTCCCCCATTCACCACAACACAGACTTCTAAATAATTAATCCATGCTTGACAAGGTGCAGATCAGACACTGCTAATGCACACCTATTTAAGGCTACAACCTGCCACAAATTCAGGTGGACTGTCGCAACCACACGCCAATTACTACTGCAGCCTCTGTGTGGCTAAAATGCACTTGCCTAAACAGAAACAAACAGTGTGGGGGGGTAAAGCAACTGCTTCACTATCATTGTATTAATGGATTCATGACTAAATGAAGTAAATTGATTTTGATTAGACAATACATGTATAATTCTGGCAGAAAAAAACTTCCATTTCATTCTTAGTTTTCACATTGAGTCCAACGACGTGGCCACACCATTTAGCTTTGTATCCAGGATAATTTATAAAGAAGTTGAACTTGTGTCTGACTGGTACATATGACAATCTTTAGTGTAAGTATTCAAATATCAATATTCCCATTAAATAACTAGATGCTAACTCTCAGCGCTATGCAATTTAATATTCATGCCACTGGGGAAACAGTAGGAATAAATTATAAGGTGATGTATAGCAAAGCTCCAGAGGGAAAGAGGTCCAGAAAACAAACATACTGCCAATTTTAAATTGTGAAACCCTTCCATTTCAGCAATAATTCTAATAAAGTTTACAAGCAGATCACAATTGTGCAATTTGTCAATTGGTTAGTTGTAAACAGTTACACATTTGAAACTATTCCTTGGATTGACAAGTTCCCCTGTACCACTGGCCGTATCTTGCTGTGTAGGCCTTCTCTTGGTCACTCAACATTAAATTTTTTTTTAAACAATTGGTAGTGTGCAAATAAATATGAAGTGAGATGTGTGAAGCATGATGTAGGAGATGAGTTTTAAAGGAGATTCTTAAAGCAGTAGATGAAGGATATTAGCAGGAAATTTTACAGAACGAGAACCAACCACTGAAAATAGTCAGACAATGGGTTGGAGGGTTGTATGAGAGTATGGAATAGGAACAAAAAGGGAATAAAGGAGATCATAAGAGAGGGTGCAACTGGAGGTAATCAGTCACAGGGCTTGTTGGGGGGGGCGGGGGGCGCGAAGAAAGGGGGTTAAATAAAAGGAGGAGGTTTCAATTTAAAGTCTTCACCCTGGTGTTTAAAATAAAAGAGGAAAGTGACAAATGCAGGTCAGCAAGGACACGTATGATAGACTTGGTTTGGTTTATGACGTGACACAGGCAACAAAGTTCAAATGAGCTGGAAACTATCTGGAGTTACTTTGAGTCAAAGTCTTTGAGATAACAAAGCCAATAAAAATATTTCCATGGTTTTATCACAGGATGACAAAGGTAGGCAACGTCAATGTCATCTCAGTGATGGAGAGCATTGCGGATGAGGTTGCAGATGAGGTTGTAGACTTGTGTCCCGAGCCGATGTGTTTTGTTGCAGACGTTTCATCACCCTGCTAGGTGACATCGTCAGTGCACCTCTGGTGAAGTGGTGGCGTTCTGTCCCGCTTGTTTATTATATGCCTCAGTTTTCTGGGTGGTTGGCCAACCACCATGTAAATAACAAGCAGGACAGAACTCCAACGCTTCACCGGAGGCGCACTGACGATGTTACCGAGCAGGGTGATGAAACATCTGCAATCAAACACACCGGCTCGGCGAGCAAGTCTACAAGCTCAGGGGATTTCGAGTTAGAGGTGCAGCTTGGTGTTGGTCATGCCACCTCGCATCTTATAACAGGAGGTGTGAACTGGGCAATGAGCTTCTCTTGTACTTTCAGTTAAAATTCCATGTATGGTTAGAGAAGTTTCAATTTGAATAAGAATGATGATAATCCCCAGCAGCATGCAGCAACGTGGTTTAATTCAGGAATTCATGAGACTAATAGCAGTATTTGTGGCATTTCCGTTACCAACAATTCTAATGGCAACTTTGTTACATCCTTTTTGATACCAAATAAATAAAGGTTTCAGGGTAACTACCCATTCACGAAACAAGAGTATAGTTGAAATACTACAAACATTGTCCACTAACCATTTACCACCACTCTGGTTGATTTTTTCAAAGACAAAGCTTGATCACGTGCAGCAGGCAAGCTCTGTGTACAACCTCCTCAAAAGACATGAAGCAGCATGGTATGGACTCGGGGTCCTCAGACGAATGAACGTTTGATTTTTTTGTCCTAATTCACTCCCTTATTGAATTAAACTTTGATGTATTGGTCTTGACATCTGCTTCAAGCTGATTGTATTGTGTATGATACTTTAATCACTCCCTGTGCATTTTACAGTGGCTGCCTGATTAATGCCATAGATTACCTGGGCTATCTAAGGCAAGTGGGAATCATTGCCCTTCCCCAAACTACACTTCTTTCATTCGTCAAAAAACAGGCTACATACCGAATTAAAAACAACCCAAGTTGAATTAAATTAACAGACTTCTTGAAAATGCTTTTTCACATCGCATACCAAAATGTGTGTGTGAAGATGCATTTGTTTTTAAGCTATTGAAGTTATGGGGCTTGGTTTGCAAGGATGGAAGAAAGATGTGGTGCAGAATCGCATAAAAAACACGTATGATTATTCTTTGTTCTATGATGCAAAATGAAATCAAAACAATTTATCCAAATTCACAACTGACTTTGGCTGAAGAAAAATGAGAATCGACAGACCCAGATTAAGTGAAATCAGAT